AGGTGGGGGTAAAAGTAGTGGGGCTGGATTCCGTGTTGCCGGGGAGCCAAATGTGCATCACTGCCTGTCGGTAGCAGTACATGATCAGTAGGCTGGTCGGACGCTCGTATTCGCCTATCTTTAAACGTTAATATCTCGTTAAATATTGCGTCAACTGCAAAATGGTACAAAACTGTTTTGTTCCCCTTGATCCAATCTATGTCCCCACTGTGTTTCAGTGACATTTTTTTAGACACCCTGTATATATTATTATGGTTATAATACGCATTTATCTTGGTAATTTTTCTTATTATTACCCATTCCTCAGTGTTTAAGTTAAACGGGAAGTACAAGCCTTTTGGTCCGTAATGGCTTCTTTCAAATTTACGATAATATCCTCGATCGGCATTACTTTAGGATATAAAATTCCTTCTTTAATGTAATTAATGTAGTCGATCGTTTCTGTTGCGTCCCTCAATAGATCTGTTAATGCGGTCAGAAAGGATGAAGTGTTCGTCTAGGTCATGTCTTCGACTAAACGAGTGTCCTTGTTCTTTAAGTTTATCTATGTAGAATGGTAGCGTATTTTGATTTTCTTGCAATGTTTGCTCTAGGTTGTCTATGTGCGCTATGGTTGAATTTATTACTTTCAATTGATTTCTTACCGCATGTTTAACTACAGCATTTTCATCGTGTATTATGGTTAATTGCTCTTTAATAATTTTGTCGTCATCAGCATCCATAGTGCCAAATAATGACTTCGCGATTGAACCTATAGCATCTATTAGGCCTCTTTTTTTATTAGGTGCTGTTTTATACAGTTTTTATTTTTTCTACTAACTGTTGTGTTTTATTATGCTCTTTTTTGAGAACTGTATATAAATTTTCGCAAGATCTTTTATCTGGTAATAATATAAATAGAAAAATTTTTCATATAAAAACACTTGGTGCTGCTAGATCTCGATATATAATAATAACATGGTAGTATAGTAATAAAGCATGAATGCAAATAAGAAGGATAAGAA